AATTACTCTAGAACAGTGTTGAAATAAAAGTTTTCTCTGGGAGATGCTTATTGACTGGCATGGCATTTTCTTCTTGTTGGTTTTGTTTATAGGCTATTAACTATGTTTCAGACATTTAAGTCTTCTAACTGCTGCATAAGTAAGCTTGCATGGCTAGTAAAGCATGAAGTAATCTCAAAGATGGCCACTATCAATTTCCTCCCTCCCTGTAGGAGCATTCTGCTCCACCCATGAGGACCTGGAATCTACCCCCCTGCCCTGGAATTCTGGCTAGCCTTTTGACTTGTTTTGATCAACAGAATGCAGGAGAAATGACGCTGTGCCACATCCAGAACTAGCTTTATAGAGATCTGGAAGCTTTTGCTTTTGCTCAGGGAAGCCAGCCACTATCCTATGAAGAAGACTGGTCTCTCCTAGGAAGAGAAGCCATGTGGAGAAGCACTAAGGTGCAGAAAGGGAATGAAGTATTCTTGGACTTTCCAGCCCTACTCATCCTAATCCAGTGGGCTGCCGAATTTTAATGTGATAGTGTTAATGACTCTAGCAAATGGCAAGTAGAGCAGAACTCCCCATTTGAATCCTGGTACAGAGAATAAGATAAGTAATGGTTAATGGAAGCCACTAAGCCAATAGAAACTGGGAAAAGTTAAGACATTCACAGGAAAATAATGATATGGGCAAGTCCTAAAGCGAAGAAAAAAAACTGGCAACCATGAGTTAAGGGAAAAAAAAGGAAGGAGGAGCCAACAATAGTACAAAAATCAATGAGAAGGATATATAAATTAAATAAAATGAAAACACTAGCTGAGATTTTGTTTAATTGCTTTGGTTCTGATTGTCCACTTTCTTAGAAGCTTGCAAATCATTACCCTCAAGGTCCCCAATTTGCTGAAACAAGTCAACATCTAGTGTATTATTTAACTTGTGGTTTGAAAGCTGAAACAGTTGATTATTCTGTACAGACTGTCAAATATCTATTCTACTCAAATATCACTAATTCCCTTTCTTCAAAAGAATGCCATAACCTTTTCATCTTAGGTTACTTATTGTCCTATGTACCATAAAGCAGATGCCCTGATTTATTGGGCCAGATTCCCTTCTCTGATATAGTTGAGAATTCCATACTATTGAATATTTAGAGTACGCTCCCTATATCCAAGGTGTTCCTTCCAGTGTTTTACTTCCTACAAATTCAAATTTACAAAAAAGCTGTCATGGTTTGGTGACTTCATTCTTATATCAGTTTTCTTTGCAAAAGCAAATGTATAAGTACTGGTAACTTTAGGTTCAAAATGAGATTAAAAAGATCAAATTATAAAAAACAAAAAACTTATTTATCTGATATCTGAAATGTTCCAAAATCTGAAACTTGAGTACCGACGTGACGGTCAAAGATTGGGAATGCTCACCGGAGCATTTCAGATCTTAGATTGTCACATTAGAGATGCTCAATTGGCAATTCTAAAACTTCTTTACAAACTTTGCAATACCTAATTTATTGTAGTGATGAACTTTTAAATACTTATATGTCTTACATCTAATCAACTAGGAAGTCTTCTTGATTCTCTCATCTAAATAATTCCCTTAATCATCTTTTCCACCCCCCTCCCATTTCTTCTGCCATGACCCTCATTCAAGCCCCACTACCTCTTTCAAATTATTCTGCAGTTATCTACTTAGCCAACTCTTGTTTCCCTCCAGCACCTTCTGCGTTGGCATCCCTCCCACCATATTTTATTCTCTACTTGTCCATCAGAATTAATTACTTCACCTTCCACAAGCCCCTTCAAATCTAAATACTGTTAGCTCTCTTTTACTTTTCTCTAAGTTGAACTTTCCCATTTCCTTTTATCATTCTTCTTTTCTAGGCTCACTATCTTAATCACCTCTCCCTTGGAGGCAAACCAATGTGATGATGTCCTGACTAAATATAACTAAAATATACAATTTGAAATAAGATATGAAAACACAGATGAGAAGTAAGATTTCTTTCTCATGATTTAGATAACTACTGGAAATCATGAGGAATGAGTCATAGTCACACAAATAAGTTTTATGTAAACCAGAATCACTCCCATGAATCGCAGTTCAGAGATCTGTTCCAAATCATGAAAGGAATATATACAAAACACACACATATGCAAACAAAACAGAAACAAAAATAGCATAAAATTGTATCTTAAGAGTAGACTGCACATCTTTAAGATCTTGATCATCCCAAAAAAGACACCTGGAATTAACTAACAAAACGAAGTTTCCAATTCTTTTTTTTTGTGGAAAGCTTTACTTAAACAGAATACACTGAAGATGATCAGTGTTAGTATCACAAACATGTTAGTGAGATGTATTCAGGACACAGCTTTAAAAGGCAGATGTGAACTGAAGAGAATAGGGAGGACTATAAATCATAGTGAATGGTAGCAGCCTTGAATTTGCTTTCTTGGAGGATAATTCTTCTTAGATATTTGTCTTATTCTCATAAATGTGAGGTGAAACAGACAGCTGCATCACAATCAAGAGTATTTAAGCAACAGTTCAACCAAGCATCAAGCATCATCTCCAAAGCGGTGCATCATTCTTGAAAAGAGTCACCATTTCCATCATTTCATTTTATTTTCTTCCTACAAAGCCCCCTTAATCTGACCTCTTACCTCCAGTACCATCATTGGTGAGGCACTTCTGATAAAGAAATGTATTGTGTGAAAACATTTTCATTAAAAAATACTACAATAAAAGTCACTTATGATTAAAAATATTGCCTAAGAAGACTGATGAAACTTGCTTCTCTTTACATAATTTTGCATTTTTATAATAAACATAATTGGAAAATACCTTTTTCCATCCTATTTAAGTCAATTAGGTATGATGTAACATAAAATAACTGAAACTGAGACTGCCGTATCTTGATTATAAATGCCAAAATAAATGTATAATAACAAAAAATGGCAAAGATCAAAGTCATGTCAGGTGTGGTGCCTCATGTCTGTAATCCCAACTCTTTGAACTTGAACCCAGGAGTTCAAGACCAGCCTGGCAACTTACTGAGAACTCTGTCTCTACAAATAATTTTTCATAGTTAGAGGGCACCAGGCGTGGTGGCTCACATCTGTAATCCCAGTAGTTTGGGAGGCTGAGGCAGGTGGATCACTTGAAGCCAGGAATTTGAGACCACCCTGGCCAACATGGCAAAACCCCATCTCCACCAAAAATACAAAAACTAGCCAGGCATGGTTGTGTGCAGCTGTGGTCCTACCCACTCAGGAGGCCAAGGCACAAGAATTGCTTGAACCTAAGAGATGGAGGTTGCTGTGAGTGGAGATCATGTCACTGCATTCTAGCCTGGGCAACAGAGCGAGAATCTGTCTCAAAATAAATAAATACACACATACATACATACATACACACATAAAAGTTAGCTGGGCATGGTGGCATGTGCCTACGGTCCCAGCTACTCGGGAGGCGGGGGCAAAAGGATCACCTGAGCCCAGGAGGTCTAGGTTACAGTGAGCCATGATCATAACACTGCATTCCAGCCTGGACGACAGAGGGAGACTCTGTCTCAAAAAAAACAAATAACCACCACCATATGTTTAATTTTAAAAAATCAAAGTCAGCTTTTTACTCTAAAGATTAGCTATTACAAAACTGACACCAACATCATAATTAAGGAAAGCATATACCCAGAAAAGGATAATTTTTGTTTTGAGTTTTATGGTATAAAATGAAATAAATAAAAAATACTTACTCTTTGTTGTTTGTAGTGCTTAAACATTCTAATGCAGTGTTCAATGATAAATAGCAAGTAAATGCCTCCTAGAGCAACAAGTCCTTTCAATACAGCATCATATTCTTCCAAAAACTTCTTCGATTCATGTCCATGAGAATGTCCATGCCCATGTGCGTGTTGGTGACTGTGATCATGTCCACCCTGAGACTATTAATAAAAACAAATAAAACTTCTAAACAAGTAATTGAAATGCTTTTTAAAATTTTGAAATTATAATCTCCTAAACAACACAGAAAAAATACCTCTCAAGTTTTAAAGTGCTCCCCTAGGTAATATCTCACTTAGTCTTCCATTTAATTTGCTTTTCTCAGTTGTCCAGAATACCACTACATTTTATAGTAACTCAAAGACCACCAACTCAAATGAATATAATAATAAGATACATACTATAGTTAGAGAATCAAGCCAGAAATAATAATAGGGAGTGACGGGTTCTTTGTAAATTGAAGTGAACACGATTTACTTACATGCCAAGTATTTAGTAAAAATGAAACAAAACACACAAACTAATTCACCAGCAGTCACTTGTGATTCCGTGTAATCTAATTCTATCTTAAACTGATTGTTACATATTTTTTTGTTTTAACTTTTAAGTACAGGTTTGTTATATAGGTCAACTTATGTCGGGGGAGTTGTTGTACAGATTATTTCATAAATTTCTTCTCATAAATTATTTCAGAGGTAATAAGGTCACTATCTCTGCATATACTGTGGAAAGTCAGCAAGAGGGTATCCTTAAATGCGCAATTTTCTATATTTCAAAGCTTTAGCAATCATAAATGTATGTAGAGAAAAAGTTACGTTTCAACATTATGAAATGTACAAGTATCACAATAGTAATCTTATAGAACATAAGTTAGATAACTGCACTTAAGTATCTTTCTTCCTTCTAAAATTTATTTGTATTCTTTTCCTGTTAACTAGTGGTCAACCAAAGAGATACCTAAACCTCTCAGAGGATATCAGACCACTCAAAAAGGTAACAGCTAGGTTTAGTTAACCCTTCTTAACACAAAAACAAGTTAAACAGCACTTAAATACTGTTCTCACTTCAGTAACTCTTACTAGGCCCAGTTCTAAAGGAAACTATTGTTATTCTTGATGGCTAGTAGAAATGGTGAAACAAAAAAATTCATACTTGCAGCCTTAAGATTCATTAACTCATTTATTAATTAAAAAAAACAGCAATGTCACACATTGCTGTAGATACTAAATCTGGAATTCTCAGCCAAGAGTGCACAAAAGAGGCGATATACACAACAACACAAATACAATCCTGTCTCCCAAATTCTCTAGAAGGAAAACACTCAATACTTCAATATTATATTTGGAAAAGAAAAATTCCCATTGTTTTCATAATTTGAAGTAAAAATAGTAAGAGTGAATTAAATACTCTTAGCTGGTGGTAGACAGTTATTTACCTAACTATTGATAGGTTATAGAGAGCAACTTGTAAAAAGATTGATGAGCATGGTACTAGGAATATGGGTTTGTGATCATATAATTAATCAGAAGTGTCCCCAAAGAGAAGAAAAGGAGTGGTATGCCAGGTGAAAAGATAAATGCCCCCACGTGTAAAGAGCTAACTGTAAAACAGCACACTGAGTGTATCTGCCTACTTCTGCTCAAAGATGCTGATGGCATACCAGCTATAGACATAATCATTACAACATCTTTTGTATTTCTCTTAAACACTTACCTGATATGCTATACAGATTTAAAAAGACCACTCACTGCTACTGATATTGCAAATTTTAATTCAAAGAGATTTTTATAAAGACTACTGAAAGCAAAGTTGACCTAATGATTCAATTTATTTAAAAAAATTGCTATTAAAACTCTGAAAACAGAGAAAAAATACTTCATCCTATAATCAAATGAAACAATACAAATACCAGATTACTGTGCTATAGCTTGCTAATGAAGGACCTTTCAGTTTAAATATTTTTATTTTAAATTTTTAAAAAGATTAAAAACATTTCTTACATGGGGCAGTAGATGAAGAAGGGCGTCTCCACTCATTGTTCCTACAGCTAACGCAACAAGGAATGTAAGAAGAAATTTGAAGCATCCTTGGTTAATGATAGGAACCAAGATAACGCCTAGCAAGGAAAGCAGGCTAATGACAGTGATAGAAATGATACCACAAATCCAGGCTGTAGAAAAGAAATTAAGAGTCAACGTTAGCATGACAATTTAAAACAACAGACTACCAAAAAGAATAAAAACATAAGATACATGAATCATAGAAGGTAGACTATTTTACCCAGACTATGAAAGCTTTATGGCATTGTTTAAAAACAAAACAAAAATATGACACATAACTAACTTAAACATTTTTAAAAAGAATTAAGAAACTCAGATCAAATTATACATAGTACCTTCAACAGCCCACGAGATTAGAACCAGTGACTTAAAATGACTGAAGGCTGTGATTCACTTAATAGCTAAAGTATAAATAAAAATTTCTAAATAAAATTTATAAATAAAAATAAAAATTTAAAATAATAAATAAAAATAAAAATTTATAAATTTATAAATAAAAATAAAATTAAAAGTCTAAAGGCAGAGCCACAATAAAGCTGTTTATTTAAAGAATATAATTATAAAACTCACCTGAGACATTAAAAAAGCCAAGTATCTATTTAATGTGTTATAATCTTTGTAAATCTTTCTAATACAGAGTTTAAGAAATGTAACATAGCCCCAAATGGAAATATGTTCATATGAAAACAAAAAAGTCTCATTACTGGTAACTTTATTGTTACAAAGGTAAATTCAGTCCTATTTTTCTGGATTTTTTTTTTCTCTACACCTGGTTCCAAACTCTCATTCCTCCAATTTGGGTTTCTGTAACAATTTACCACTTAAAAAAAAGTCACCATATAATTTTAACTGGCTCAGAACACAAGAGAAATGTTTTCACAGTATGACTTAAAAATAGGTATGGTGGGGAAGGGGAATTCCGTATACATGTCTTTAGGTCATTCACAAACAGGTAAGACATCAGAAATATATGCCAGTGGTTTGGGGGCTGGACATTTTCATTACAATTTCTATTACTGGCCTAAAATGAAATAGAAATGTTATTAGTTTTTAAAATTCTGCTTATTTTAAGATCTATCTACAGAAAATCTCACTGAAGAGCAATAATTTTATAAAGATTTTAATCTAAAATACTATTTTTCAAATCAAATCTAAGAGGACTATAAATCTGCAGAAAGACTTTATATTAAGTCTGTGATATAACATTGAAAAAATGCATCTCTTCATCAAAATAACTCAAAATTTTCAACAACGAGGAAAAGACAGGGAGATGATACTAACTGTCCCACTAAATGCTGAACTTTATCAATAAAACTGTTTTATCCAATGGGCATTGTATTCACAATATCCAATAATGTTAACACTATAGTCAATACTCATTAGCTCAATTATCTCACTGAATTAAAACAATAGATCATCTATCACTAATGGAAGCTCTGTGGCTTACCCTGTATCTTAAACGATAATTACTATCACATAAATATAGGTAACCTCAGAGGCAAAGTAAGATTCAAAACAACCAGTATTAGAGGGCTGAAGATCTACCCACTAGACTTGGATTCAATGGCTTCAATCCTTGCAAGGATGTTGGATTAAGGAAGGAGCAGGAACTCAATTCTTGAGGAACCAGGATCACATATTTGCTACAAAAATAATATATCCTGATTAGTGGAAAGAAAGGATGAGGAGGATTACGGCCCGGCGTCGTGGCTCATGCTTGTAAACAGCACTTTGGGAGGCCAAGGCAGGCGGATAGTTTGAGTCCAGGAGTTTGAGCCAGCCTGAGCAACACGGTGAAACCCCGTATCGACTAAAAATACAAAAATTAACCAAGCGAGGTGGCACACACCTGTAGCCCCAGCTACTTGGGAGGCTGAAGCGGAAGGATCACTTGAGCTTGGGCAGCGGAGGTTGCAGTGAGCTGAGACTGCGCCACTGCATTCCAGCATGGGTGACAATGTAAGACCCTATCTCAAAAACAAAAACAAAAACAAAAAACACAGGGGCGGGGGTTCGGTAGTGATTGCTCTAACTAACTATTGTTGTGATGACAAACCACGGGAAACTGAAGTCAAAAACTTTATTCTAGAAAGAAAAAATATATGCTCAAATAAGGTTTACAGACTAACTTAATGATGATCAACAGGCTAGTTTGTTAGTCCCCTGTTTATAGACAGGAAAAATAAAATCAGTGGAAGAACTTAATGAAATAAGTCAGAGAAGTGGTCATAGGTATAAATTTTAGACACGAGGTCTTACAGGCAATAAAGTTACTGGTCAGCTAAATCAAAAATGGTTTGTCAAAACTACTGCAGCTCTCTAGACCCAATCATATTGAAGAAAAAAAGGAGCGATAAAAAGGACAGGGAACTTACAGTAACCACATGGGACAAAGTGAGTTGGCAACAAAAGCACTAACCTGAAGATAAACTGTATCTTACACAGTACTATATAACTTTCCCTTTACAAGTATATTTTTCCTTATTAATTTGGCAATAATCTAATACAGAAGCAACTTTTCTAAAAGCAACAGCCTAAAAGCAACTTCAATTAATAACTTGAAAATGTGCACTAAACTACTTGGAAAAGCTAGTAATTCATACTCTAAGACACTCTAGGAGAAAAAATAAAATGTATTTACTTACTAATGTAAATATATGTGAATGGGGACTGCCAAAACTACCGACAAGATCCCAAATACACAAAATATACAGAGTAAACACAACTGATAACCCTTCATAGTTATTAGAAATTTTTATTAATAAGAATAATTTTAGCCAAGAATGCACTAGAATTAGTCACCAAAATTACCCAATAAAAATATTTATTTTAATGGCTCAGGGTCCTGGTTTATGCCTGTAATCCAAGCATTTTGGGAAGTTAAGGTGAACAAGCTGATTACGGTCAGGAGTTTGAGACCAGCCTGGGCAACATGGCAAAACACCATCTCTGCAAAAAATATAAAAATTAGTCGGGCATGGTGGCATGTGCCTGTAGTCCAAGCTCCTTGAGAGGCTGAGGTGAGATGGTTTGAGCCTGGGAGGCTGAGATTGCAGTGAGCCAAGATCATGCCACCGCACTCCAGCCTGGGCGACAGAGTCAGACCCTGTCTCACAAAAAGAGTTCTTTTGTGGAATAGTGTTTTGATGAAAAGAAAACTTAAAATAAATCAATAAATAGTCTCTGTATTACTCTGAACATTTTAACTCTTTAAAAATATTTTTCTATTTCTTTTAGAGGAAATATGTATAGCATGTTTGCTATATAAAATATTTTAAAGACTACCTTCAAAAGATTTTTAACTGACTAAAGAAAACCCTAAATTCTAGGACTAAAATTGATCCTATATCTTTTGATAACTTTGTTTTTGCATATAAAACATAGAGGGCACAATTGGAAATATTATAACATAGTTAATTACTCCTTTGTATATACATTGCCTTGAATGACAGAGTTGAAAATTATAAAAATATTTTCAAAGATGCCAATTATTCTGCCCCTTTAAAAAGAAAATCGTTCTAAATTATTTGCTTATGAGTAGCTATTTGAACTGGCCAGATACTAGCTATTGTCATGTTATACTGCTAAAAAAACTTGCATAATCTAGCATTTCTCAAACTGAGCTCATTAGTTCTATGAGATGGGGGTATTTCAAAGGGGAGGGAGGAGAAATTTAATAATCAAGTTAGTTTTGGTAATGCTGAATAACACAGGTTCCTTCAGAGCCTCTAACAGTTTAATAAGCAATATGAATCTCTAAAAGAAGAATACAATATGCAGCATTTTCCCAACTTATCTCATCATGGAATTTATTAGTATAGGAGAGGATCTTCAAAAAGTTTATGGAAAATGCGTATTATGAAAAAAATCAATTTACTTGTTCCCTAATTGAAAAGGACCAACAATTAACAGCACAAACAATACTCAACTCCACAGACATCTCAGCTGGTTGAGCTAATACAATTCTGACAGAACAATTAAAGCTGAACAAACTTTCCACTCAACTGGTGCCAAAACTCCTGTGCCCAGATCAGCTTCAGACAAGAGAAGAACTTTCCACGGAAATTTTAAACAAGTGGGTACAGGATTCTGAAGCATTTCTTTGAAAAATTAAAGAAGGAAATGAAACATGGCCTTAATAGTAAGATCCTGTAATTAATGCTAATGAACTGTATACTTAAAAATGGTTAAAGGAGGATGATTCTGGAAAGACTGTGGAGTAGGAAGCACCAGAAATCTGTATGCCCCCTAAACTGTGAATGAACTGACAAAATCTGTCTGATGTTAACTACTTTGGAACTCTGTAGTCTACTGAAAGTATGCAACTTCTAGGGGAAAGCTCAATGGTAAAATGTGGTTAATTTTGATCAATTTCAGCTCTTAGTTTAGTGGCAGCTACCCATCTGCCATCCTTAGTCCTTTGAAAGGAAGCTGTGCCTGGTGTCCTGAATCAATCTACAGGACCCTACAATTACAGGAGCTAGAGTAGACAAAATGGATTTTGATCCCCAAATGTTGAGGATCTGTACTCTGATCACTGATTCTGATCACAGAAGTACAGGCAAAGAGACACGTGGCCATGTTGCTGTACCTCTCCTCATTTTTGCAAATCTCCTCGCTAAAGTGTCTTCCAGGTGATTTAAAAGGCCAGCACCTCTTTTTCCTCCTTTCTTTTTTTCTCCTTTTTCCCTTTTGGGAGTCAGACAATAAATACTGGAAAATTCAAAAATAACTGCATATTTGGAGAAAATCAGAAAGTAATCATGCATGCCTAGGGAAGGGCACAGGCTCAGAAAGGACCTGTGAAGATAAACTAGGTGTAGTGTCTCATGCCTATAATCCTGGTACTCTGGGAGGCTGTGATGGGAGATCACCTGAGCCCAGGAGTTTAAGACCAGTCTGGGCAACATGACAAAAACCCATCTCTACTAAAAATACAAAAACTAGCTAGGCATGGTGGCACATGCCTGTAGCTCCAGCTACTCTGGAGGTTGAGGTGGAAGGATCACCTGAGCCCAGAAGGTTGAGGCTGCAGTGAGCCATGATCATGCCACTGCACTCCAGCCTGGGTGACAAAGTGAGATCCTATCTCAAAAAAAAAAAAAAAAAA